TACACGGTAGCTTATTCGCTCGTTGCACTTGACGTTTACCTGTTGTTGATTGGCTCAAGTGTAATTTAGTAGCTTCCTTTCATTTTGCCTTCAAAACTATATAAGCGAATGTGCTTTCATACATACAAGTCTCTTTCGGGCTAGTCTTTGAACTTCTGCCTGTAGTCGTGGGGTGAAGGCGTCAGTAGCGACACAACAGACTTGCTTAGGTGTGATAACTTTTACTACTAATTGCTTAGCCTCAATGCCTAACGATTTCGTGTTCAGCATGCAGTGTGATGGTGTTCAGAAAAAATATAACTTTATCAGGATACTGCAATTTGTTTTGGGCTCAAGCGCAAAGTTAGCCATAGCAAGTTGAAGAGATGGTTTATTAAAGCCCAATTTGCGAATCTTTTTGATCAGTTTCAAAGAGTGCAACCAACCAGGCCTAATGAGATTATTTTGATTCAGAAACAAATTTTGAATATGGTCCAGGAGATTTAAACGGGGTCAGTTATTAAAAGAATGTGCTAACACAACGTTAATTTCCCAAGGATTGCGTGAACCAGGAGCTAACGAAGTAGTCTTAATGAAATATGATCAAGGTTCGTTAGACGTGATTATGTGCAAGGCCGAATATTATCACAGAATGTGCTTCATACACAACGATGTGAATGAATTCGTAAGACTCATGATACACATGAAAATATAAAAATCTTCGTACTTCTTCACCTTCCTTCACCATCCTTCATTACCTGATGATCTGTGAGAATTGTAACAGTTTGAAGCCGAGTGGCAGCACTATTCCACAGCTGTATGGGTCACCGAAGACACATAAGCACGAGTGCTACTCAGACCCATCTTTTAAATGATGTATGCGCCAGAGCATAAACTGTCTCGTTGGTTAGTGAAGGTGATTCCTCCGCTGTGACAACGGGTCAATCCGCAAAGTCTTAAAGACTTATTTCAACGTACTGGTGACCCGAATGCAATCAAGCTGTCAGACCCAGTCACTTGTTCCTTGGATGTAGGATATATATTCCCCAAGCTAAAGCAGCCAGTTGATTACTTGTTCGAATTATCCGAACAAGCTGGCTATCCGTTACGAATTCTGACAGCATTGTTGAGATGATCCCTACTATTGTGCACGTAGAAAGCAGACTTTCATTTTTAGCGTACACCGTACCGTTAAATGGATGGTCCTGTTTTAGCTGATTCCTTTATGATGATGATAGAAATAAGCATCCATACAGAAATAGCCCATATACCCTGCAATGAACGATGTGTCATTCGTCAGAAAGGCGCCTAAATTTGGCGCGTGCTGACTTACGTGTTACATGCAAAGTAGAACAGAACGTTTACCTGTCATGTCTGGACATTCTCATCTGTCGCAGGCATGATAGATTCATTACGAGGTCCGTATACCGAAAATCAACTTGGACGGCTGACGCCATAAACACTACGCCACTGAGATCCGCGAGCGACGCTTGGTGCAGCGGAAACGAAATCAAGTTGAACTTGAAGAATCCGCATCAGCTCAGGCTATCTCCACCTGATGAATGCCAACCAGATCGAAACCACCTTCCTGAGCTGCCAGTGTTTAGATTTGGAACAGCAAAATATTTGCAAGCCGTTAAAGCACTTGTTTGAAAGCTGTATCCTACTAATGTTTGCGCAGTGTAGGAACTGTTGACAAATACTATGTCGCTCCTCGATAAGGCAACACAATTACAATTCCGACAATATTGCATAATATGGCCGTTGTTATTGGGTGTCAATCGGACCGTCTGATTAAAGAGGCCGAAAGTTATTCCTTGCTTTTTGCTCCAGTTGTTATTTCCGATGTCATTACCGCAGGCGAGGTCTACGATAAATATAATACAACAAGTAAAATTAATACCACACCATTGGGGGCGTTTCATTCTAATTTACTAGGATGTATCCGGACTAAGCAGCCACAGGTGTTTAGTACTTTTGTCTTCCCGGGAATCTTCTGCAGTAACTGATTAACATACAATGGAATTTTGGCAATGCAATGACCTCACGCAACCCCATTGAGGGGTTTTCAAGCTACTTAACATCAGCATCGTCCATAATACCTAGTTTATTGTAACCTAGAAACATGGATGTGAACGAAAATCCCCTAGACAATATACCCCAGCATTTGTCGAAAAGGTACTGTAATCGATTGGGGAAATTTATGGGTCCATTACAGGGGATGCCGGTATGCCCCATCTCTGTTTAACTTAAGACATGACATCATATGACGTCTTCATGTCTACTGGGCCGATGAAGCACAATTTGTCGGCACCTACACTCAAGCACGGGTGTTTGAAAGCCTTGAGACGGCAAGCAGCTAATTTGGCCCTAGGACACAAAACGGCATGTTTATGAAAACAACAGCCCGCTGTACATCTGTTCATCAACGTACCACTTCTAGTCGTATTTCTTATCTGACATATGCTATACAATGCGTATTTTTAATATTCAGGTCGCATTTGGTTTTGTTTGTTCTTCCGTCATACTAGCTAAAGCTTACCACTATTGTTTACATGCTACGAAATCTAGTTGAAGCTTTTATGTCCATGCAACAAATTAGAACGTAAGGCAAACTGCTTTCCGATCTAATTCTTTATTCTCAACCTATTCCCCAGTTTTTAATGGTTACATCCAATTTATGCTACCCCGGGAGATAAACGGTATCATTTAGAGACCCGAAAGCGAATTCATATGTTTTATGTACGGCTTTACCGTGGCTCGAATTATGTCCTCATTCTAACGGCGCCTTACTCTTTGTGCATAAATGCCTGTATCCGTTTTATCACTTGTCTGCTTTATGGTCGACTGTATTGATTCTAGCTGCTGTTCGCTTCTTCCGTTCACATCTCCTTTGGCCCCTTGATTATAGTACCCTGTGTTCGACTAGGCCCCTGATATGTACACTGACTACATGTGTTTTACGGGACCGGTATTCACTAATCCGGCAGTTCACAGTTTCACCAATCTTTAGCAGTAACCTCCAATACCAGTAAGCGAACCGATTGGTATGTTTTTCATTGCACTGTTCTATTTATGACTAAGAAGATTGTTTATACATTGTGTGCATTTTATATATCATCCCTCTTTACCTCATCCACCTTAAATAAAAGAGAGCAAATGATGGAGCTAGGATGTTTGGAATAAATGGCTAGTTCACATCACGGTTTCGAAATTGGACATTAATTCCTTAACCCAGTAATGTACATTGCCATCATTGACGTAACGAATCGTCCTACCCTGGAAGAAGGTGGAAAAATGAACACTGCGTTATGATTGAACGCAAATTAACAATTTAGTAAACGACATGCTGCATATATTGTAAATATGGCCTCGTGTAATGTACTGTTATCTTAAACAACTAATGGGTAGGGAAAACCATTTTATAGTGTTGCTCATCCCAACACTGGCACCTCAAGACAGCGGTTTCGTCATGGTTTGGACTCATCAGTTGGAGATAGCCGGAGTTGGGCTGGAATTCAGAGCCTAGTGGCTCATGGTTGACACCATGAGCACTATGCCACTGAGATCCGTGAGCAACGCTTGGTCAAGCGGAAACGAATTCAAAGGTGGGCTTGGAGAATCCGCTGGTGCTTGGGTTGCTACAAGCAACCTCTATTGAGTAGGGGACTTAAAATGTTCATCGCAGTAACCTCGAAATCAGACGGCATACATCAGGCAGAGCACTAGAGCGCTTTCCTTCCAATTTAGGTCCGTCAATGTTGCGCATCCCAGGGCTCCATCAAGAATCGAACGCATGATTTTTCGTTATTAGATATTTGCGCTCCTGTACCCGCCTGTGGTGCTAGGCCACGAGTGATGGCGGAACAACGGCATGACAAAAAATTCAGCTGCATTCCAGATCGACTTGTCCTACACGGTCGCGAAAAGTGTCCAACGTTTCACGGAAGACGGCTGGCGCACATAGTTACGATTTCCCACAGAGATGGCATTATGCAACGTAACATTTAAAAGCAGTTATGGCGAGTATGTTAATAACTAATGAGCGGCAGTTGTATTATGTGTCTACATGCCGAAGTATGCACACCAAGTGGAAACGCAGCTACAACCATCCTTATCCGCATGGTTTCATTATATGCAAACTACACTGTTTGCTCATTCGTTCCGCCATTTTTTCATCCGGTACGTTGATGACTTCAGGTGAAAAATCCTGGCAGCTGACTGAAAGGAAAGCAAAGATACTTCCATCTTTCTCACTTATTTCAGAAAGCGGTGGCGCTGGCTCCAAATACACAGGTTGTATCATGTCACAATGTTCCAGACAAACGAGGTATTTTACGTAGGCAGTGGTAAGGACCACTTCGGGTTAGCGCACATATTAAGAGGTTTTTCCCGTGATATTTTACAAACTTGATGTTTGTTTCTGTACTCTAACAGAATTAGTTCAAAAAATTATGTTTCAGCCTTACCTACAATTGTAAGAGAATAACACGGTAACTTTCTTGAAGTATTTTGGGGGAACGTTACTTCGTCTGTAATTTTTATTGACCACAATTTTTGACCAAACGGTCAAGAATCACCAAATCACATTTCCCTAATTTTTATGCAGTTTATCATACCTACGCCCGACGTTGATATTTCGGTCCTACACTACCATTTAATTCTATCAAACTATCTTCTAAGTTTCGTATTAGCCTCCAACGGAAGTGCCGTTGTTTGACACCAATTAGCATTAAAGGTCTCCAAAAACATTCTTGAACGCAAACTCCAAAACTTTCGTCCTACAGTTTAACAAACGTTTTCCCCTCTGCAGCTAACAGTATCCATAATAAATGAGTAAACGCAATATCGTATCGGGGTTTGTATACTCCAGCAAGAGATAACGTCCCCATAAATACATAATCTCCTTACTTCAGCTTTATTCAATGATTGTTGCAGCAGCTGCATTTATTAGCAGAAATGATCAAGCAAATCCCAGTTGGTATAATCCTTTCGTTAAATTAACAAAATGCGCGCCTTTTCCGCCTTTCGATACCAATGTAAAACACCTGTCCACATTTACCTTCAGCTTCATTGTTATTCAAGAAGGCACCGATATTTAATGACAGAAGTTAGCTGGCGTTTACGGATTTATTTGTTTCAACAATGCTGTTCAGTAGCTGTACACGCCGAATGCAGACGCAACGCAAAAAAGAGACTCGTTTGTAAATGATGCCTCAGCATAATTATCCGTATCTGAATCCCAGTAGCATCTGTAGCCGACTTTCACTCCTTGGCCGCGTTGCTCACCGATAATCACTTGGACCAAATACCGGTAACGCGATAAAGTCAGATTCTTTTTCAGCGCATGTTTAATTTCATCCGCTAAAGCGATACACTGGCCTACATGGTAGAAAATACGTCGTCAGTCTTACCATGTGTTTCTTCAGCGGAATATGTCTGATTTTCTAGTTTTTCTCGAATAATTGTGTTAAGAATATTTTTGACGATAGAAGGTCTAAATTTCTGATCAAACGGAGGCCGTATGACGTAAGAGCTTTCTTTATCCAAATTTTTCATCACGACGTTTGAGGATGATCTGTTCCCTGAACAATGTTATGTAGTCCGCTGTGAAATAGAGAAACACCTATAATCCGGGGTACCTGTAGACAGACAGAAGGCGCGTTTTATTGTATAGAAGTGTAACTAAAAGATATACGCGAATACCTATTACCACTTGCCAAATGGAGCGAAAGTAGGTCTCTGAGGTTTTCGGCACTCTGCCATAGATGCATTATACTCTTACTGATACCCCCATCTCAACTGCATATTTCGTTCGCGACATGGGAATTTGGTAAGCCATCAGCTTCAACTTAACCGAACACATTCAACGTCAGTAAGAGGAATCAAACCAACTAACAAGCGACATTCCGATGCCATACAATCCTAAACACGACTAGAACCAAACAAACTCATAGTGCGACGCCCCACAGAAATTTCCAAATCATACACAGCCACTTAGGTAAAACAAAAGATGTCTCTTTAGAAAACCTTCAGCGCAAATTTACCAAAGTACTCATAGGGTGCTCATTAACACTTGACTGTGAGGAACCATGTTATTACTTCCAACTCGATGTATTCTGGCATCCTTGCCTGAAAAGTAATCTTACTCTACTCTACAGTGTAACGTACTCTCGAATTTCCGCAACCAGTAAGGCCGTCGCTTAAAATAATGGCTCAAGTTATCCCACTCGTAATGGGAAATGTTTACTATTCTGAGAGGACCAAACGAAATCTTTGGTTAAATTTATCCTTGGTGTGGTAAGCACATCTGTGGAATAAGGTACTGTTACAACTAGGGATCAGAGAGAGCCTGACTATTTTTAAACCACATTTAAAACTTTTCTTTTACCGCCAAATGTGGTCAAACGTTCGATATTAGTAATCCACGGGTGCATTCATGCAATCCGGCCCCGAAAACACATGACAGTATTAGCTAACGAATAGGGTTATTCTTTGAAACGCCACAAGGCTCCCAGTCCTAACAGCCTACCAACGACTCTATTCAAAGATGGCTGGAGTGTACTTGTCAGCAAAATCCCATCTCTGTTCAGGAAAGTTTGGACTAAATAGTAGGTTCCGAACTCATGGAGAGAATCGCCCATTGTTCCGATTAATATGAAAGGTTCACACGACCAGTGCTGAACCTACCGGAAAATCTCCTTGATCTCTGTCGCATCCAAAATCTCCGTGACTGTTCTACTTCTCAGCCTTTCAAGGACTATAGAGGAGTTTTATCGAGAAGTACAAGCCGGATTGCCTTCAGGCCTCGACTGCACCGACCAAATCTTAACGCCCCGCCAACTTCTCGAACTCCATCACATCCAACGGCGACCAAAAATCGTAATGTTCATGGACATCCGAGCAGCATTTGATTCAGTGGATACATCTGCCTTGTTGAACAGTTTACTGAAGAAAGCTGTGTCCGAAAAGTTTGTAACCATCCTGAAAGAAGTTTACAACTACAAGTTCGGCAGTCTCAGGGCTTACGGCACATTCTATTCTTCGTTTTCTGTGACCAACGGTGTTCGCCAAGGTTTCCATATTGCACCTTTCCTCTACAATTTTGCTATCGATGATGTTGTCCAAGGAGCACTGGAAGGGGTTCAAAACTGCGGTGTTGAGCTCCCCTGGAGACAGAGTCACGGACTTGGACTATGCCGATGATGTTGCCTTGCTAGTGGACGACCCGCAGACCGAATAGAGCGTTTTGAACCGCTTAGTGATAGAGGCGTCTAAGTACGGCTTATACTTTACTCCGGAGAGATGTAAAATGCTGCTCCAGGACTGGCAGGCGCCTGAACCAGCATTCAGCATTGCTGGGCATGTTCTGGAGCAAGTCCTTCACCTTACTTTTCTAGCGAGTTGCATCACTGCTGGTGGCGGCGTTGAAGCTTAACGCTCACAATGGACTGCAAAGGCCCGCCTTGCATTCCTTAAAATGAGACACCCATGGCGTCGTTGTGATGTCAGTCTCAAGTTCAAAGGCAGGGTGTGCAATGCTTCCGTCGGTGCAGTACTCTTGTACGGCGTAAGACTTGGCCTATTCGCTCTGAAGGCATAAAGCGATTGTCATTCTTCGACAGTCGCTGTCTACGAAGAATTGCTCGGATGTGGTGGCAACACTGCGTACGCAACGCAGAGGGCCGAGACGGAGTACTTGGAGCGAGTAGTACCGGTCTTCAGAATCTTATTCTCCGACATCACAGGCGTTGCCTCGGACACGTTTTGCGCAGGCTAGCCCCTCGCCTTCCATATCGAGTACTATTTGCACTCCCAGCGATCGACTGGAAAAATTGCAGTGGGGGGCAGCCAATGAGGTGAATAAGCAGCATGAAGAAGGCAATCTCAAGCTTGGCGGCGGTCGGACCAGACCGCTTTCCACGTTGGGAACCACGCTATGGTGAAGCTCAGCGGTTGAAAAACATTGAATGTCATAGCCAGTAATAGTTTCAAGGACATCATTGTTCTTCTGCTAGCTTTTCCCCTCTTTAATGCACACAAAAATTCAGAAAACACAAGCAAAAGTACGCAAAATGACGTATGTAAAATCAACCTCCTCGTGGTGCCAGCTGGGTGGTTCGGGATTTTCCCGTTCCAGCAAATGGCTCGTCGGCAATGTTCCAGGACGTGGTGGGTTTTCGCCTGGCAAGCGTTCTCCCTATAAAAAGCCACATATGTCCGTTTAACAACACTGCGACGTGGCGGACGTGACTCGCCACTAAATAAAGTCACTGCCCCTTGCTTCATCCTGGCGAAGCATTGTATTCCAGCAAATGTATGCTGTAATTTTGGGAAGCATTGGGCCCCTGTTTGACAAAGGAACAAACGAAAGGCGTTTGAACTGAGAAATCAGTCACCGGCACCCAATGGGCGCGATTCCCTGAATTCGCTCCGCTGTCTTGCGGGCAGGCTATTTAGCCAAAGGCTCGGGTTGGTGTCCCCTAAGTCAACACCCTACTTCGGCTTGGACAACCGGGTAGTATCTCGCCCTCTGACGAAATCATGGACTTTGATGTTATATGTTGTGTTTTCTTTTACTATTTCTGTACCTTGTTTAGAGTTCCATGGTTTCCGATGGCTTAATGTCTATTCATAGACCGTTGAAGATATATATATATATATAGTCGTATTTCGTGTTTAGGTTTTCGCTATTTTTTCTGCCTTGCTTCGGATGTCACAATGTATGTTAACAGGCTGCAAATATATGTATATATATGCAACGAAACCTTGCAACATTTTCCATACTGAGTGCAGTTCACAAATGAAAGGATGGAAAAGCTCACTAGGCAAATGATAAGTCTACAAAAAGGAAACATGTACCATTCATCGAAAATTATCACAATTTATTCATTTATGGGGAGGCCGTGTCCAATATAGCTGCTTGGGTTTGGCACCAGTGTGGACTCTGATTACGCTCTTTTATGTGTAGAGCTGCCGGTAATTTTCTGTTTACATCCGCAACGCAGCTGAAGACATTGGCATCAGCAAACTTGTGTTCTTAATGCGTATCAAAGTACGCTGGATTCCGAGATGAGTAAAGGCCCAGATAAGACAATTGAAAGTCACTGATGTGTTAATCGTCAGACTTTACATTCAACAGACAGACCATTTGGCCCCTCAAATTAGCAACCAGGATATTTAGTCTCCAAGTTGTCTCTAGAAATTATGGATGCTTGACGGTATGTTTCTGCTGGAGGCGAACACGCTGAGACTGGTAAACATCTTAGGGCGAAGTTGCGTGTTATCCTGAACATAGACTAGGAAGTCTGCTGGTCACCACTTGCGGCGGAGATTGAGACCTAATGTCTTTGGTAACCATCATAAGTTATTCTGTCTGATACGAATACTCTCAGCAGCAGACTTGATGTCACCCAGACCATAAGTGACCACGATAGACAGCCAATCCGTAGCTTGTCAAAATGCTTGAAGCGTTGGGCCGAACACTATGAAAATCAGTCTAATCAACCGACTACGAAATTCCTTTTCGGGCCTTGAAAACCCTTCTCCTCGGCCGTCCCTTTAGATCAGTCTTCACGCGCAGAGGTCTAACACGAGGTCAGACAGTTGAAATGCAATAAAGCCTCAGGCACACAAATAGTTCCTCCAGTTCTCTTTAAATTCGGGGAACCAACATTTGTAGATAATTTGCACGACATACAAGTGAGGCTGCGGTAGCAGGATAGTAACCCAGCATACTGAAGCCATTCCGTTATAGTACCAATTTTCCAGAGACGGCTCACTTTTCGATGTGTTATTCATGGAGAAATCAGGAGGGTCTCAAACGCCTCTAAATTGCTTGCGCGTGTCGCTCACTACGGAGTACTGCCACTCGTGAAAGCCAAAGTTGCAAGAAGAAAGTCGTGCTTGGCCGAAATCCACGCTGCATTGACCATTTCTTTAATTCAGGTCAGCTGTTGGAACACCGTCATTAAATATATATATATATATATATATATATTGGTACCACACTAACTTTGTGGTTATCGACATCAAAGGTGCTTTCGACTAGGTAAATCAGTGTGCTTTGTGGCGCTATCTACCCAAGAAAGGGTGCTGGATAAACGTGTAAATATTATTAGATCGCTGTTAGCACATAGCTGGAGCAGTGCTGTTTTACGGCAAATTGTCGCCCCATTATCACCTGCAGTATAAGTAAAAGTTACAAACTCCTTTTCCGAAACATATATATGTCTTGAAGGATGTTTGTGAGTAGCGTAAGGTTCGTAAAAAGTAGAAGTCACGATTAAACTCCACACAATTATCTGCGGCGACGTGGAATCGAACCCCGGTCTCACGAATTTCCGGTCAGCTGCTCTACCATTGAGCTACCGAAGGCTGACGATTACGTACGCAATTTAATACATGACTTTGGTCTACTGGGAAGTGACAAGTGAGTGAGCCAATCTGCAACCCCAGCACATATACTGTGAGCTCATTGGCAATACATCGCGCACCAACCAGAAGTTATGTATTGACTTGCGCACCTAATCGTCAGTCCTCGGTAGCTCAGTGGTAGAGCAGCTGACCGGAAATTCGTGAGACCGGGGTTCGATTTCACGTCGCCGCAGATAATTGTGTGGAGTTTAATCGTGACTTCTACT